GCACGATTCGCGAACGCGCTAGAGACTAACTGCGACAGCTGACTAACGGTGCACGTTACGCGGCTACTCGCTGAGCTCCAGACACGGACGTCGAAGATCGTCTCTTCCGACGCCTTATTTTCCTCTTTGTCCACGTCGCGTTCTAATCGTCTCTTAACGATTCTTCGCCATTCTCCTCCACCTTTCCGCGCCAATTGCTTTTTCCACCAACCTCTTTTTCTTCGTTTCGCTCCTTCCCACCCCCTCTTTCCTCCTCTTTCCGTCCGATCTGTTCCTTCCGCGTTTCCACGTTTGTCGTGACCCGGCGCGTTCCGCGCGCGCGGAACTATGCGCTCATTGTTCGACGCCGATGAGAAACTGGAAAACGCGATCGAGGTGACGAGACCGGAAACAGGCTGAGAGAATAGAGACCCCGACGCGTCGGAATATAGGAAAACACGGATTCGTGTTTGCTCGTTACCTCGTCCGGGAACTAACCAGATGCACCTCTCCTTCCCTTTACCGACTAACGCGTCGTCGAAGCAAGAGGACGAAACGAGATTATCATGCGACTTTTTCAGGGGACGATCCTAGCCTCGCCAACGGGGACCATCGAAAGGGCGAAGCTGAATCAACGATGTACCAGAGACCGGGAATGCGAGTCCAGCATCGAGAGTAGTCACTGTCAAACGGGTCTCTGTCGCTGTTTGCCCTATTTCGCGGCGTACAACGGGACGCATTGCCTCGAGGGTAAGAATTACTCGTCGACGTCGTCGACGTGGTCATCGTCGTGGAAGAATAATCGGTAACCCTTTTTTCTCGTGTCTCGCTACGACACAGCGACTCTTCTCGGACAGGAGTGTATGGTCGACGAGCAGTGCACCCTGAAAGTAGCGAATAGCGGATGCTTGGACGGCTTCTGCGGTTGCAGAGACGGTTTTCTTCAATTTCGTCGGCACACGTGTCTAGGTCGTAAGTAGACGAACTCTTCTCTTCGCTGCGTCGCTGTGACGCTGCATCGCGACACCCTAGCCTTCGAATCTCGTAACGTTTCAGCGGCGAAGATCGGTCAGGTTTGCTACGAGCACGCCCACTGTCGATTATGGCAGGAAAGTTCGCACTGCGATTTTCTCATCCCGAATCTGTTCGGCCGATGCCAGTGTACGGCGCCTATGCGTCGCGAAAACGACACGTGTCGACCAGACGATCTGGTCCGACCACCGCCGCTATTCAGCGACGAGCAAACCACGACGGCAGTCGAGGATCGAGAACAGACGGAAGCCGTGGAGACGAAGGATAAGGAGACAGGTAACGAGACGCGACGTTCGTCGGGGTGGCTCCAGGTTCGTGGATCGGCCGTTTGCCAATTTTATCTTACTTTTCTGTCAGGAGTGCAAATCGCTTGGCTGAAAAATGCTACCCTACCGCAGTCCACGTTCTCGCCGAACTCCGTCGATTCGGTCACCCAGTTCGCCGATACGACCCATCCGCTCTCGTCGACGGAGGACGACGCTATAATCGTGGAGGCTGTCAGCGAACCAGCCAACGCTGTATGGACGTCAGGTAAGAGGATGGAAAGGAAAAGGCTATGAAATCTCACGGCGAAAACTTTACGCAGCATTGGCCACGAAGGCGGACCGACAGTCCGAGGATGACACGGTGACCCCGGTCAGTTTGGGATACGATTGCGTGTCCGACTCGGAGTGTCGGCTGGCGGACCCTTACTCGAGATGCGTGGACGGGGTGTGCGACTGTGGCTACCGGAGAGAGAACGCGAGCTGCGGCGCGAGGAACACCGGTTGCGCGGCTGGCACTTTTCAGTGTGCCAGTTCCGGCAACTGCATCAGCTGGTTTTTCGTCTGCGACGGAAGACCGGACTGCAGCGACGGCTCGGACGAACGGTGTTCCCAGCGAGAATTCGGCTGTCCCGAGCAGGCGTTCCGATGCAACGGGAGCAAAGTGTGCGTGTCCAGGGCGGTGATGTGCGACGGAAAGCAGGACTGCCCGCACGGAGAGGACGAATCGGGCTGTAACGATCGTCGAAGTAAGCTTCGTCGAGGTAGCCTCTTCTACTCTCGAGTAGTCTCGTAACGCCTACTACGTTTCACCGTAGGATGCCCGGAGGGTGCGTTCAGGTGCAACAACGGTCAATGCCTGCCAGCGTACGAGTTTTGCAACGCCGTGGTGTCTTGTCGCGACGGAAGCGACGAGCCGAGGGGAGCCTGTCGGACCAGAGCCGGATACCGCGGCAGAGTCGGGACCAGGCATTGTCCGTTCAGGTGCGACAACGGCAGATGCCGATCCGACGCGATCGCGTGCAGCGGCCGCGACGGATGCGGCGATGGATCGGACGAGAAACGCTGTTCCGTTTGCAGTTAGTATGCACACGTATATCGACCTATCGACGAGATACCGTGGTGGATAGGAAACGAGAATCGAGAGGAAATCGCGCGTCCGATACGCGCATCCTCTCATTTCCACCGCGACAACGAGCAACTATCGCGTTTATTATCGTTATCGCGTTCGTTTCAGGATGTTCGCCGTTTCACGATTCGTGGCAACACCACCATCTCGGCGCCACCTCGACTGCTTTCGACGAGCATCATCGAGGGAGAAACGTCGTCGAGAGATCGTCCAGTGGCCGTTGATTTTCCACGACCGTACTAGCATCGTCGCAACGATTAACCAAGGACGGGAGAGTGTCCGCGACGAGGACGCTCCTCCAGCGTAAGGAACGAGGAAGAAGAGAATCCCTTGATCGATACGCTTCGTCCCTTTGTATCTTTCCGATACGCGACACCTAATAAACCTAACGAAAGTTGCAGAATTTGATCGTTTTTGTTCCGTGAAGAAGTTTACTCAGCTGGCAACGGCTCGCCCGTTTCGCGCGTAAATCGGGTCGGAGAACCTGCGTGCGATGCGGAAATTCCATTCAGCCACGTATCGATTCGAAATTGGTGGAGATGCGCGCATCTGCGCGAAACGTGCCAACACGTCGGAGTCGTGGCTACGCGCGTCGATAGCCAACCGTTCCTAGTGTCTCGTTCCGGGTTCCGCGCGCCGAGTTTCCCCGAGGTCGCCGAGTTTCGACGATCAAACGCTTCTTCTTCCACCGAGTCTATCTTTGCCCGTCGCTGCGCTTCGCGTCGTCCGCTTCTTCTCTCCATATTCTCCGTGCAAAATTATGTCATCGACGAAGAAAGGGAACTTGGACTCGTAGAAGGTCCGACTTAACCCTCGCGTGACGTCGGGTCGTTCCGTGTCGGTTCGCGTCGGGCTAGTTCGCGTCGGGTCGGTTCGCGTCGGGTCACGTTACGTTACGTCGCATATCGTTGTGTCGGGTCAAGTTGGGATTTATGTATCCCTACTCGCGCTCTCGACTAAACGAAGTATATCCGGAGTCGTTATCGAGATTCGTCCGACTCGGTCCAAGTTGCTCGCGCGAGCTTTCGCCGAAATAGACGACAGCAAGAGCTACGGTAAGGAGCATTAATTGCATCGATAATCGCCGCCGGTTTTCTACGAATAGTTATCTATTCCGTACGACAATCCCGTCCAGTGTTATTTTTCTCTCTGTCCTACGTGCGGCTGTCCACGTGTTCGCGCGTAAATATTTCCGTTCTTTTTTCCCAATTAATCTTTAGTCATAACAGTTGTGTACTCGAAGCTTCGACGGATGCTCGTTAATTCGTGCAACGATGTTTGTGAAACTAATCTACCGATAACATCCCGAATGTGCTCTACGTAACGCGTAGAAAACGATCTTCTCTTCGCGTATTTCGAAGGATATTCGTGGAAACAGCGTGCGCCGCATGGTACACGTTTACCGGTTAATTGTTTCCGCGTTGCTTGCGAACTTGCGATTATCGTTTCGTTTCCGTTGCTCGTCACGTACCAGTCGCGAATAAGAGTAACGAAGATCGATCGGAACAAGTCGGGGATCCGAACGTTCGTCGTCCCGACGTCTCTTGGTAACTCGAGTGGCCGATACCGCGGACTACGGGGCAGATTCGCGGACGAGAGGACGAACGACGGCGACCGGTGAGAAGCGATCTCGATGACCGCGCGGCCGATCGCGATCATCGCGATCATCGCGGTCGCGTCCAAGCGACCCACGACAGCGAGAGTGCGCTCCAAGGCATGCACTCGCGAACGTGGAATCCGGTATCGGTACCGATGCCGGTGCCGGTGTCGACGTCCGTGCCGTCGGACCATCTCGAAAATCACAACCGAGACTCCAAGCGACGATTGCGCGCGGTCGTCGATTGTCTTCGTCGACGGCAAGTCATCGTCCTTCTGCTGCTGCCGGCGGCCCTCCTGGCCAGCCTGTACATGGTTTCGTCCGAGGAGGAGTACGATTTCGAGCCGCGATATCCGTCCGTCTTCAAGGTGTACAACGCGGTGGAGGGTAAGTCGAGCGTCGATTCCGTGATCGATCCTATCGGTATTATCGATGCGAGCGTATTATTAATGACCGTGATGAATCGACGCGATAACCGAACGGAGTTTCCGCAGAAACGATGGACGGCTACCTAGTGTGGAACTCGAGGTGCCAGATGCTGTCGAAAGAACCGCTCGACCCGTCCATTCGATCTCACGTGAAGAAGGAAAAGTTCGAGAGGTGCTGGACGGAGCCGTTGCTCAGTCGCGTTTCCCGGGAGAACGCCAGTCTGATCCTGTCGCTGGATCCGACCGTCGCCGTCGATCATCCGGACCTGAAGTGCTGTTGGTCGTCGGTGTTGAGGGCGGAGAAGAAGCAGCCGGAGAAAGCGAACAAGGACAACAACGTCGATTCGTCGATCGTGTGAGTGTCTTGGACAGAGGGAACGACGCAGGTAACGCGACTGGCCGGACGGACAAGAAGAGCGTGACTCCGTCACGCGTTTCATCTCGACTGTCCGTGTGTGTTTGCAGGGTGAAGCGATGCGAGAGCTTCGAGGGAGAAACCACGTTGCCCGAAGAGGTCGCGGGCATGGCCGCGGCCGTGATGGTCAGTTGCAGCGTGAAGCCAAAGTCCGAGGAGAAACGCGCTGGTAAACCGATCTACGAGAACGTTCACGCGATCCTCGACGTGGACAAGGTCCGCGATCGTTGGCGGAGCACGAACGAGCTTCCCCGGCCGACGGGTGCCGCGACTCTTTCCAGGAAACTCAGCATTCTGGTGCTCGGCATCGACAGCGTCAGTAGATTAAACTTTATGCGAAGCGCGCCAAACACCGAGAAATACTTACTGGAGACCGGCTGGCTCCGATTCGAAGGATACAACAAGATGGGCGACAACACCTTCCCGAATTTGATGGCGATCCTCACCGGACTGAATCAAGCACAGGCCTATTCTCGATGCAAACCCACCGTTCCTTACATGTTGGATCGCTGCCCCTTTCTCTGGGCAAATTTCCGCAACGCCGGTTACGCGACCGCTTACGGCGAGGACGAGACTTCCCTCAACACCTTCAATTACTTCAAAGTCGGCTTCGTCGACCCACCTACCGACTATTACCTACGACCGTACATGCTCGCCTGCGAAAAGTTGCTCAAAGTGAAGAAGAGGTAAGCGGCAGCGTAGTAGGCTTTCTCTATCGTCTTTTCTCTCTCGCGTTTCCTCTCTTTCCCAGATTCGGGCTAAAGTATTGCACCGGACCCGAGACCAGTTTCGACAGAATCCTCGATTTCGCCAGCGATTTCGCTCGCGCGTTCCTCGGCCAGCCGTACTTCGGCTTCTTCTGGACGATCAGCGTGAGCCACGAGAACGCGAACGGATTGTCGTCGATGGACGAGCGATTGCTCTACAAGCTGAAACGTCTGGAACGAGAGGGTGTACTGAACGACACGATGATCGTCCTGTTGAGCGATCACGGGATGCGTTGGGGCCCTATCAGAAACACGTTTGTCGGTTGGTACGAGGAGAGGCTACCGTTTCTATACTTTTGGTTGCCGGAATGGTTCCGAGTGGAACGACCGGAAGCGTATTCGTCGCTCCGCGTCAACCGACATCGACTCACTTCGCCGTTCGATCTCTACGAGACGTTCAGGGAGGCGCTGAGTCTGTCGGGTGGCTCTGCCGGCCCGTCCGTCGGCTGTCCCGACTGCCGCAGCCTGATCGCTGCACCGGTACCTCGCGAGAGAGGCTGCTCGGACGCCGGGATCTCGTCTCACTGGTGCGCCTGTACCGCCTTCCAATCGGCCGATACCCGCGATCCTATCGTCCAGAAGGGCGCCCAGGTGTTTCTAGACCACGTGGACAAGCTGATCGACGATTACCGGAACAAGAAGGGTAGACGGTTGTGCGCGAAACTCGGCCTGAAGAAGTTGCATAGAGCGGATCGTGTAGTCGAGTTTGCAAACACTACCAGCGTCGCTTACTTTTACTTGATTCAGGTCAGCCCCGGTGATGCCAAGTTCGAGGTTACCGTGCGGTATCACGAGAACGGAACGTACACCGTGTCCGATCACGAAGTTAGCAGGATCAACCCTTACGCTTCCACCGCGGACTGTTTGAATCGTGGAATGAAACAATATTGTCACTGTCTCAAGTAATTTTCCGCGAGGGACGTCACGAATGCCAAATTTCATCCCTTCTCCGTGTTTTACGACGCCAGCCAACTTGGCAGAGACACGCGTGCGCTTGTCGCGCGACTACCGCACCGATCGACGAAGTACGGAAAGGTACGATACGCGCGTGGGACGCTCATCATGTATATACGTATGCATATGTTGTATGCATATACACAAACATATAATATACATATACATATATATATATATAAATATATATATACACACACACACACATCTATTTTACTACGTCTCTTTAAGCGCAATTTACTTACAATACAAATCGGAAAGGGTGACGCGACGAAACGCGAAACGTGCGAGCCGCGACCCAGGGTCGCGGCGTCTTTGACTCGACGCTTCGCGGAACGACACGTCGTGTCCCGTTATCGATATGGAGGAAATAAATCTCATTTTTCGCAAAGAACTGTTTCCGATAACTGTTTTCACCCCCTTTCTTTCATCCGTCCGTTCCTCGCGAGACTGGACGAATAGAGACGGTGTCTCGATCAATTGGTTAAAGCGTCCAAGTTGAATCGAGAAACCCGGCCAATTTCGCGTATCGTTCCCTCGTCGCCGATGGGACGACGACGAATAACTCCGTGCTCCGGGGTGCCGAACAGCATCACCGTCACCGATTGTTTGCGAGAATGCGAGACCGTCAGACCTCTGCGAGCTAAGAATCCGTCCAAAATCTTGATCCCCTCGTAAAGAGTTTCCACGTCGCAGCTAGAATATCGTCGGTAAGCTAGTCGTTCGTCGTAGGGGCCGATCGAGACGGGGTCGGAGGCGTGCAAGGTCTTGCGCGATCCTTCGAACTCGCCGTTGCTCAACTTTTCGTAGCTACTGATAGATCTGATCACGGACGCTCTGCCGAAATAGCCGTCGCGCGGACAGACTGAAAATTTCCTCACGGATCTTCGGAACGTGCTGCACGGAGTGGACGACGTGGTCGTAGACGCAACGGTAGATTCACCGCTACCGATTTGCCATTTTCCAGCACGCGCTCCAAGCAGTTTCACCACTGTACTTTTCGATCGTTCCGAGCATCCTTCCACCTCTCCCGCCTCTTCCTCTTCCGTTTCCTCCTTCTCCGTCCCTTCCTTGCCCGTTTCGTTCTCTTCCTCTATTTCTTCCGGTTCCTCTTTCCCCGCATCTCTGCCTGGTTTATCGATGCTATCTACGAATCGTTGCTCCGTGTCCGCGGAAATGCGACGGACCGGCCAAAGGCGGTTGACGGCTCGCTCTTTCAACGACGATGACCTCCGGATAGTGGCGCAACCGCAGGCACCCTCGCACGAACATCCGGAGGATACCGATGCATCGTTCGATCTCGCGTTATCTCCGACGCAGTCCACGGTTGTTGCCTGTGTATCGATTCGTGGTTCCTCCACCAATTCCCCGTTTCGTTCCTCGTCCCCGACCTCGTTCCCGTCGATCATCGTCTCGGATCGTTCCCCGGCTCCGATTCTTTCGCCCGCGTCTTCTCTTCGCTGTCCACGCTCCGCCTCCGTGCCGGTCGAAGCAGCGCTCGAGATTTTCCGCTGCGAATCACAGGACGTGTCGAGTCTTCGAATCGAATTCGAAGCGCTCCGAGTCCGTGGATACGCACCAAAAATTTCGGCATCGATCGAGATCGAGGCTCCCTCCAGATTCTCCTCGGTCATCGAGTCCGGATGCTCGCTGTTTCCGGACAGGTACAACGAGAATTGTCCACTCACTCGACGCGATTCGGTCGGTTCATGTGACGTTCCCTCGTCTTCGTCCTCTCGTACGCCTGACGGAATATCGTCGCGTGAAAACTCGCTCATCTCGCAGCAATGTCGCGTGGAGAATACTTACGCGCGCTCGAGACGATCGTTAATCCGGATATGTTGAAATGTCGCGATATCGATCCTGGAGGAGTGACGTACGGTGGCGGTGGACTCTCGGGCAGTCGTAGAGCTCGACTCTTCGGCTCCTGACTAGGACTCGACGAAGCGTGACTGGTACCTGCCGTCTCGGTGATGGAACAAACGGAGGATCGACCAGCGTCCAGTCTTGCGTCGGCGAAATCGTCGATCCACGAATGTCGTGAAAGGAGATGTCGCGTTACCATACGAACACCGGTGTCTAGCACGGTGAAAAAGTAGCAGAAAGAAAGTCTTCTTTACTTACGAGCAACTTTGACCAGGGGAGCTTCTACCGCGCGATTCTCGCCCAAACGATCTTCTCTTTTTCCGTGACACGATCTCCGAATCGAATCCGAGTTTGATCACTTCGTCGTAGCCAGGCGGTGCCTCGTACATCGGTGGGTCATCCGACACCGAGATCTCGTCGATTCGCGCTCCGTCTGCAATGTCGAACACTGTCCAAAGTCACGGTGAGAAATGAACGATGATCACCGGTCTAGCTACTCTTCGTACACGACCGATCGTTCGACCGACTTTTTCGAGACTCTAATTCGCACGGTTATCATCGCGTGGACCATCCTCCTACCTAAAAGTTCGCTGATCGTTTGCAACCTCGATTGCAATTCCCTTTGCTGCCTCGCTCTAGCTCCCATTCTGTACAGCAGAATGATCAACGCGGATATCAAAATGATCAAACCGAGGCTGCTCGCGACGAATACCAGAGTAGCCGTCTTCAGGTCCGGATATCGGTCGATCTTCGGAAAGTAGTAATTCGCCTTGTTCATGTGCCACTTTCGATCTTGAGGCTCCACTTCCCAATCTGCGAAACGTTCGTTGTAAAAGCTTCGTCGCGATCTAACAATGTCGTTGGTTTACCTCGAAAGCAGGTCGCCGGTTCGTCGCTGTTGTCTCCGCAGTGGTCGAACCCGTCGCAATTCAGTTGAGTAGGTATGCATCTATGGTTTCGACAGAGAAAGTCCGAGCCCGCGAAGCAATCTGCGAACGATGGGCGAGAAGATGAAGAAAAAGTGAGAATCCTCCGATCGGATTTAGCGGTTGATTCGCTCGCTCGCTCGATCGAATCGCTCACCCATATAGCTGAAGGCTGCATAGGAGATCGCGAGATGCGAAGACGGGCCGAATGTTCCACGAAGACTGACGTGAAAACCGCTGGTGACAGGGGCGAGGTGTTCCCGGTGCCGCGGTGGTTGCACTTGACTCGCTGGATGTCTGAGAATCTCGAGCGGCAGAAGAGCCGAGGTGGGTCCTTGTTTCACGACTAGTTCGGTATTGCCGGCTGAATGGGAACGATAAGAAGAAAAGACGACGAGTTTGTCGAAAGGGGAGAAACTGGAATACGGGAATTCGTCTGGACTCACCCATGTCCTCGAACGTGACCACTTTTAGGTACATATGCGTCTTCATGTGTAGAAAATTCTTCGGGGGTCTGATCAACCAGACGCAATCGTAAGTTTTTACCCCTTCGCCGACCATGTCTATCATGGTAATAGCTCCGCCAAGGTTTTCCACGTAGCCACCGCAGTCGGTTATCGGTTTCACGGTCTTGTCCAAAGGATGGCCGATCACGAACGAGTAGAACGCCTTGTAGCCCAATCCGGTACCGCCGTTCGCGTAAAATCGTATCAGCAACGACGGACCGGAACTCATTATCACGGGTGGTCGAAATCTCGCGCCGCTGCTCACGTCCAACCGTTGCCCGTTCCAATCGTAGAACTGCGAAACACGCATCGTCGATCAACCATCCAAAACCGATGGAACATTTGCCCGATCGTTCCATCCATCTTACCTCCATTATCGATACAGTCGCCAGCTGAAAATCACTGAATAACAGCCTGATGCGACAGGATGGAGCTTCACTGGGGCACGTCACCACGTATTCCAAGCCCAAATCGCGAGGGTAGCGAGCCGGGAAGAAGGGAGACGCTAGAATTCCACCACCGGTGTTGTTCAGTCCCTTCGCTGCTTGACCAGTCGCTGTCAATTCGGTACCCCTCAAGTGCAATCTATTTCCTGCGAACAACCAAACGTTCATGCAAATCGCGAAAACGTTGATCGAAACGTTATTTTCCGTGTGTGTTTCCGCTGACGTCGAATGCTTACTCTCGGCCGTGTACTCGAGCGTGAACGCATGCTTATGCGACTGGCTGTAGAGCAGCGTGATCGACAAGGTTCTCGTGCTGGACCTGTACGTGATGGGCGCGTACAGGCCGCAGAACGGAGTTCCGGACACGTCCTCGTACGGTGGCTCGGAGATCCAAACGTAATCGCATCTACGAAACGTGAAACGTGCAACCAGCTTTGATCTTGTCTCGGAACGAGCCGCGTGCTCGATGCAGATTCCATCGGTACACGTGTTACCTGCACGGGCTATCCATCGTCACGCTGCCGTCGCCGCAATGATGTGACAACGCGATACTTTGGAAGGTGATAATTATTACGCAAGATGGACATGTCACAAGCTCGAGGTTGCACTGAGCGTGGGAGCTGTTGCTCGTATATACCCGCGAACCCTCTTGCCTCGGCTCGTTCTTCGCGAACGAGACGTTCTTCGCGTATAAGATACCCTTCTCGCCCAGCTCCAGATACGATCGGCGACCGTTTTGGACCGCGCAGATATCCTCGTGGCGATTGATGTTCCCATCGCCAATCCCCATCATCCACCACCATACCGACATCCAGAACATCGCTTTTAACGTCAACATCGTGCTTCCGATGTTTCTCCTCCTATTCCGATATCTCCTTACCGGCTACCGGATTCCAACCCTTCCTCGATGCACACCCACCCGCCCGACCTCCCGACCTCCCGCCCTCCCGCCAGCGTTCCTTTATCGCTTCCTATTTTCCGGCTAAACCGTTCTCCACTCGGAGCTAGGCGCGAACACCGGCCGCCGAGCTAACCTCCCGTTCTCGCGATACCGCGCTCAAAACTTTATCGAGTTGAAACCAACGGCACATCTTCTTTCCACGGAAAGAAACGTTCTGCCTTTCGAGAAACCCATCGCGATTACGTACGTAATTTCATTAGCCAGCAACGCTGTTACGTACCTCCTTATTACGGTATAAAGCATTTTTATGGTATCTTTTGCGCGTTCGGTCTCTTCGCCCCCCAACACCGCCATCGTCTTTTCCTCCAACCCCTTCCGCCACTGCCGCCGCCGACTCGTCGTTCTGTCGCTCTCACCACCGAAGCTGTACACAAACGGGAATTTCGAACAACTCTTTCTATAATCTCCTCCCGACTTATCATCGTGAATATACGTGTATCTCGATCGATAACGAATATTCTTTCGCGATGACTCGTCTCCGATGAATATATATTACGTCTATCGAGAGTGTCTATCGAGAGTGTCTATCGTTGCAATTTCTTCAGTAGCAACGTTAAAAATGTACCAACTTTCGATCCGATGATAAGCAGTGGGTTACGTAAATGAAAAATTCCTATGCTGCGTAACACGCGCCTCTACGCCCGTCCGCCATACTCCTTCGTACTAATCGTTAACCGTTCAAACGATTCGTCAATACATAGGCATCTCGTTCGACAGATTTTCTAGATCAAGTACGCGCGCTGCCTTATTCCGAATCCTATGCTCGCGTCGTACCGCGCGCCAGTCGGTACGCGTTCGAGCTTTACTTCGAGGAAACGACATCAGATGTCTCTTGCAGAGACAGAGGCAAAGAATGAGAGAAGTTGGTCGAACACTGTCAAAACAAAATATGAAAGAGGACGTATTGCTGTCTGAACCGCAGGATTATTCCGATCACATGTCAAATATGGATCTCGCTATCAATTTGGAAAGACAAAAATTTCCATTTTCTATAGTCTGGACCCCTCTACCGATCTTGACGTGAGTAAAGATAGAAATATAACCTAAATCTGCATGACGCCGAGATTCGTGTTTAGCGAGACCTTTGTCCATGTACAAACGATGTGTCGGTGTCGTTGATTTCGCAATTACGATCGTTCCCATCACCATCACCGTGGACTTACTCTCATTTTCTTATTAAGGTATTTTTTACCGATCATCGGTCATATGGGTATTGCCACTTCTACCGGTGTCATACGAGACTTTGCTGGACCGTATCACGTATCCGAAGATAATATGACGTTTGGAAAACCTACCAAATACTGGCAATTAAACTATACCAAAGCGAAAGGAGGCGTCCAGGGATGGGATTCTGCCATCGCGGAAGCCAGTGAAATCTATAAAACAAGAATGGTTAGTGTTTAGTCACGTTTGGACTTTTACTCTGTCGTTTAACACGTATCTTCTTCGCAGCACAATATATGTTGGGATAACTGTCATTCTCACGTAGCTACAGCGTTAAATCTCATGTCGTACGATAATTCGAATAGTTGGAATATGGTAAAGTTGGCATTCCTTATGCTCGTGCATGGAAAATACGTGAGGTAAGAAAACATTCGATTCTTGAACGTAAACGGCGTTTAGAACGTAAACTTTTTTTCAGTTTTCCAGGTTTCCTTAAAACTTGGATGCCATTCTGTCTCCTCGTCACTGCCTTCACTTTACTCTGTCTGTTACTGCGATAAAACTCAAGAGGCATCGATTCTACAAAACTCGCGGAATGCTCTCACATATCTCCGGTCAAGTTGCATTTGACGAACTAAACGCCGCTACCGTTATTGTTTGGTTCAGTAATTAGACGATACACACATGTATGTATATGTACGCAATACGATGAAAGAATCGATCGTTTCGTAGTGCTTAATATTTATTAAAAACACGCATTAACAATTTAGTATTACACGTGTGTTACAAATATACTACTTCGGAACATATAATATATAGAATATATACTTAGAACTATCGTTAAGTGCTATGTTGTAAACACGTATGAAATTGCGAGCAAACGCGCACGTATCTTTTGTAACAAATAAATTTGTGCTCCTACGTTATCGAGCATACGCCGATGTAATCTTTTATCTCTTCCCTTTCTCCTAGAATTGCAAGTGGCAACAGTATTTTCATAGCCACAACGATTGGATACGTACAATGAGAATATCTACGACGGTACAATTTAGTCACGAACGCGAAACTAGAATTCGACGCGATGGTTGAAACTGTGAATTATGGCCGTGCAGTCTCGCGAACGTTGCGCGCTCTTAAAACTTTGATATGGCAAAGAAAAATCATTTGTCGGTTATACAATTCATTTCTGCTATAATGCTTTCCTCCACAGAGAAACTATAGTCATAATTTTGATCCTTTATTCTTTCTATGAAGGACAAAATCTCGCTAATTCTAAGTTTGTCTATCTCAAAATCGTTGTTCATATTAATCTCTAAACGTCTGCACAATTTAAACGGAACTCCGTTCAAATAATGCGTATTCTCGCCTTGATTAATGTCTTTGGACGAACCGGCCGGTAAGACATGCTCGAATTCTGGAACACAGGGGTATATATTACCGCTAGGATACGGGACTGTGTCGTAGGGTTTATTCGTTGGCACCATTTCAGGCCACTTTTCGACGAACACAATTCCGTCATCTTGTTCCGACGTTTGTTTCTCTTCCGTCGAATAAGGTGGCGACTGCTTTTGCTGTTTCCTCCTTCCAAAGAACCAAGACATTTTTAACGAAAGCGGAATAGCAACGATGATTATCCCGATGCGCCCTGAAGGGTGAGAGGTTATCTGCGTGAAAAAACTTTCTAACATAACCAATCAATGAACGTGAAATTTTCGATGATGCACGATAATGAATTTGATATATGATTGGCTCGATACGATTTATGACGAAATCTCGAAATTACTCACATACGATAGAGTTGGAAATCAAATGACACCAGGAAAAAACTGCTGTTTAAAAGCTGTGCACAGGCGATCGATGATCACTCGTAACATCGAAAATCTTTGCTCCCATTTTAAAATGGACAAATGCCTCTACGCACATGAGAAATCCGGTGCTTTCTCGATCGACCGAATCGTATCGCAAACGATGCAAAATAATTCAACGGGTACACAATTTCTTTGGTGAAACGTAATACTCTTGGAAACAAATCGTTTTCGACACTGTCCGTTAGATGTTAGCACCGTGGTTAGCAAGTAAACGGCGCAAGCGCTGGAATAAGGGCGGGGTAAGACAGAGAGAGAGGGAGAGAGAGAGAGAGAGAGAGAGAGAGAGAGGGAGAGGGAGAGAGAGAGTGAGGGAGAGAGAGAGTGAGAGAGTGAGCGAGTGAGGAGGGGATCGAAAGAGCGAACAAGAGAGAAAGATCGAGACAGAGGGAGTGAGATGGGCTCAAAAGAGTAGGAGGAGGAGGTGAGAAAAGGAAAGAGCACCTGCAACGTCATCGCGGTAATCCTTGTCGTCCGAGGTCGTCGAAGATACAGTAGTCGGTAGTTGGCAAGCCTGCAACGGTCCGCTAGGTTGTAGGTTAGAGATATCTCGTTGCTTAGTCGCGTAGGTATATGATCGTGAAATCTTTGGGAGCGATGAAGCGTTGAGGAGCAACGGTAGAAAGTTTTACGAGTAGTTTATACGCATCGAACAGTATTACCGTGCATATAAGCTGATCGTAGCAGCTACGCGTCGTTCCACAGAATCCAATTTACGCGTTCCTCGTGTCTCACGAAACGCATGCGTGCTACCAAGGTAACGAAGTGCATCTGGCAATAATCGGACGAGCCGTTATAGTTGAACAAACCACGTCGAGGTAGCAGTACGATCGCATTGTTTTTATGTTTCTCGTGTGTGTACATGCCATGCATATACGCTCTGTGTAAGGCGTATCGCGAGTGTCTCGCGAGTGACCAGCGTTTCTTCCTTCTACGCGTTCGTGCAGTTTTCCGTTTGTGTGGTAAAAGGGAAATTAGACACAGTGCCATCGCAAAATATCGGTTACGTTCGTGTTCCGCAAAGGTGTGGCAGCATTAACAGTAAGTCTCGGTGTTGGTGAATTTGCGCGGTACCGACCATCGCTCGCTCTCCTGTTCGTTACTTCTCCGATGCGTTCCTCTTCTGCCGCCCTCTCTGTCTCCCTCTTCTCCCGTTTTTCCTCTTTTCTCTTTTCCTTCACGTTCCTTTATCCCATTTTCCTCCTAAATTATCAATCGCGCGTGTCTCTATATCTCTCTTCTTTTTTTCCGCTTCTCCCTCAAATCCTACTCTTTTCTCTATCTCCTCTTGCCTCACGTCACACGCACATACGACTCATACACGCGTGCGCGCGCGCGCGCACGCTAGTTCACACATGTCCACACACCTATCTTCTCTTTCTCTCTCGCGTTGTTACACGTATATGTACGTATATATATATATATACATTCTCCACGAATCTACGCGTCGCATTTTTGCCACGTGTCGAACTATCGAAATGCTCGTGTACAGTTTGGAAATTAAACGAATTCTTATGCGCAGTGGCAGTGTCAGGGTATATTATTTGTTTGGATCTCGATCATTCGAGATACGGAATATTTTAAAATGGTATCGACCTTTCATTTCGAAAGATCAGACCGACTCGAACGACGAGTGCGAGTGACCGCTTTCGTGACTTTCGATCTGTTACCGCTACCGCTATCGCTACAGTCTTTAACCACCACCGTCACCTACTACTTCTACTACTACTATTACTACTACTGCACTATTACTACTACTACTATTACCACCACCACCACCAATACCACCACCACCATCACCACCACCATCACCACACCACCACCTCCACCACCTTCACCACCAACGCCGCCACCACACCACCTCCATCACCTCCATTATCACCACCACTACTACCACCACTACCACTACCACTAGCACCTCCACCATCTCCGTTGCTACCAAGATCATGCATCATCACCAGACCTCCACCATCTCTACCACCACCACTACCACCGTTACCACCACTGCCACCACTGCCACCACTGCCACCACTGCCATCACGTTCCACCTCTGCTACCGTCGTCATCATTACCGTCACGGACACTGACACGGGACTCGTTCGCGCGAGCGGACAAATGCCGTCACAACTACCAATATGATTCTACTCGTAAATGGAATTGAACGCCGAGCATGTTACTTCAACAGTACGAAGTTTAATTTTCAGAAACAATACAAATCCTTCATTCTTTTTTCATTTTCTTCAAACAATCTTATAACAATCGACGTATCAAGTTGGCAGTACTGCGGCAGAAAAATGTCGTTTCACGTGATTTTCATACGGAAACAAACGTTTTATTCTTTCTCCTGCTTTGTGCCAATCGAAAGTTGTGCCAGACGCGACGCACTGTGCGTAATGTTAAAATTTTCTCCGCGTCAATTATCGATATCCTAACCTCTCTAATTTGCGCATCGATTGATTTCATTTCGGCAAGTGTCGCGTGCGCATGCGCGTGCGGGTCTCGGAGGCGCGCGTGTTCGAGTAGAGGTTTGAAACGAACGGAAAAATTTAAACGGAAATCGGAAAGTGTCTGGACGAAGATGATGATATCGATCGTGTCCGTAATAGATTCGACCCGATGGAACTTGGACGCGAACGAGGCTCGAGCAAAGTCGGCGTGCGCGCGATGGCAGTCGAAGAGGTTGCGGTTTCCTTCGTAAAACGATGGATCGATCGTATCTCGCGATCCTCGAACTTTCGTTCGTCGAGATTGAACGCGCGACACGCGATACACTCTCTGTACGCGATATGTGACACGCGACACGCGACGCACGGTATGAAAATAAATCTAACCGAATGAGAAATTCGGATTTCCCATTGACAGTGTTCGGATGGTGTGCGGTAGTAATACAAAAGTGTCGTCGACTGTGCCATCGCGGTGGACGCTTCCTCGACTCGCGCGTGTTCTCCTCGCGCGTATCGCGCAGCAAACTGTGCCGCGGTTGTTGAAAAAAAAAAATTGCTTGTTCGCGTTGCAGGAAACGCATGTGACCAAGACGGAAGGGAGTTACAACGTTGCAGCGTTGACGGTAGATGCAGGGCTCAGTGAATGTTGGAGGTAACAGAATGTCCAGCGAGCAAGCGCGAGCAAGCGCCATCGCGACCAAAGGTAAGTCTTGGACTGGATTTTCCGGTTTTAATACGTTTGGTGCGTACACGGGAACGGTGATCGGGAAATTTTGGATGGCGACGTGCACGATACGCAATCGTGAATCCGCGGATAGAAAAGAAAGGAGCAGGGACGCGCGGCGGTCGAGGTCATCGTCGACGCGACCTATGCTTGTGGTCGACGAGGGTATTCTAGCAGCGTGGGAATCGAGATACGCGAAGTTACCGTGACGGGTAGGGTGGAACGATCGCAAAGACGACGTCGATCATCGAAAATCGACTCTGGATCATCGGACGCGTATTTATTTCCCCCCGATGATTTTCCGGCCATAGCGATATAGCGCAACGTCCGAATCTCGTTCACGGCCATATTTTCGAGCCTCGGTGTTCGATGTCAAGTTCACGGATCATCGACGCGTTAAATCGATTCGCGAGTTTTTCGCCGCGACTCGTCTTATCTATAGGGGAACGGGAAAAGAAGAGGAAACTGGAAAGGAGCAAGAATGGAGGAACTCGTGGGCGATCGCGGGACTGTGGTATATCGAAATCGGAGATTCGAACGATCGTCGCGCTTATCCTTCGAGCACAGCCGGCTCTCTTCTTACGGTTGATCGCGAAATCGCTGGCGCGCTCTCAACGTCAACGCGGAGGTTCATTCATCGTTTGGTATATATTTTCGATCCGTGCCACCCCTTCTCTTCCGCGATCGCACTTGTTGCCATTGAGCGTCGAGACGAGTCGTACGTGCGCATAGATCATCGACGCGACACGATGCGACGCGATTAGACCAGGCCAGACGAGACGGGACACGAATCGACGAGTAGGCAAGGGTAGCAAGAGGGGGGTGATGCAACGAGACACGCAGTCGATATTTCCGTGGAATCGGTATTATTTTAAGGGTAGGGCGATTTGCCCGATCCGTACACGCGCGTGAAAGAGGAAAATATCGGGTGAAGAAAGACGGCGGAGGGGAAGAAGGGGAAGAAGGGGAAGAAGGGGAAGAAGGCGTGCAGTCGGGAAGGAAGAGAGTAAAAATAAACGTTTAAACGCAGCGGAGACCTTTCGATCCGAAATAGATGGTAGATCAGCGACCGTCGTTATCCGTTATTCGCGATTCGTGATCCGTGATCCACGATCCACGTCTCGTCGTCAGTCGTCGTTCCTCGTCTCGCGGCTACAATTCGAAAGGGTGGGGAGACGGCATAACGTTTGTTGCACGGTTTCTCGAGCTTTCTATTTTTAGACAGGCCGATCGAGCATACGGGCATCGTCAAGGCCGCGCGTTGCGAAACGATTATCGGTGGCACATGTTGCTACCAACCGAACCAAATCGACCCAACCCGACCCGAGTCGAATCCGTTCTTCCTCCTTTCCGATCCTTTCCTATATTCGCTATACGATGCGATCCAATCGTATGGAATTTTTCGTTAACCAACGAGGAGCACACTCGGAAGATCTATCGGATCGATGGCGTACCACCACCGGTGGTGGTGGTGGTGGTGGTGGTGGAGGATCTCTTGCATTCGCGAGCGGATCGCTGCACGAGCGATGGAGCTTCGGCAAGTCGAGGATCCCTGGTCACGGATTGCGGCACGTAAGCTATGCAGCGGCTTCTCATATGCGACCAATTTCGCCTGTTCACGTGGCCAACGGACAAGATTAAAATCAGGAAGATTCCCAAGCATTTCAGGGTCATTATTTTTCGCTCGTCATGCTCGCAAGACGCCGTCCACATTAGAAACTCCACCACGTCCTTGGCCATTTGCGACTCGGTCGCCGGTGTGTCGTCGTCGTACTCGACCATCCCGTCGTAAAACGTCTGTAAAAGCGCGGCAAAAGGGTAATAAACCAAAGTTCGCGTCGCGTTGCACCGCGCGTTCCAGTTAGTTAGTCGCATACTCGCGGCATCGTGGTGAATCCCCCGGAAAAGTAAGCGTTGAAGTATTGGTCATTCGGCATGGCTATACCCGCCGGTGGATCCATCCAGCCCGTTAACAGGGAAAACACGTAGTCCAAGC